CAATGTTTCCACCCTCCCTCTTCAACTACTGCCACATGTATTATCTACCATTTTTTATCTTTTTCGGGTTAGGTTTGTGCAAGTACTACTTGCATCATGAGTCTACTTTACTTTCATTATGGGTTTGTGACGCATTAGCATTGATCATACTGATCAACCGTAGCTAAGAAACTTTAAAGGCCCGTCTACAATACACGGAGTAAGAAGTAAGAGTAAGAAATTGACCAATCACAGTCGATTATTCTTCTCACATTCGACTGTGATTGGTCAATTTCTTACTCTTACTTCTTACTCCGTGTATTGTAGACGGGCCTTAAAAGCTAATCGTATTTTCAAATGTAGTTGGCTGATTCGCTTACTACTGAAGTCGTTACCACTTACCACTCATATCATCGCTGTCAATTTTAGGTTAGGTAAGCAATGAGCGAGCACATGGTTTGGTTGTAGGGTTGTGAACTTGTAGTACTGGATTAATCCGAAGCAATCGTTTGACTTGTATTCTTCTAAAAATTGCGTTTTCACGTTATACAACTCATATAACTGCATATTCCTGTCATGTTTTTGTTTTCACAGTGATGTATTTGAAGTATTTGGAATAAAGTAACCTGAATGTAATTAGTTGTTACTAATACTAACCTTCAAAATATATTATATTGAGTGATAGGTATTACGTTTGTTACATACGCTTGGTATAAGTTTAATGTATATTACAAAGGGTGCTTTCTATTTGATGATACAAGTGTTATTCTATCTTTGTTACTCATTGAGTGTCAAGAAAGATAGACTGATGTTTGTGTCGACTTGTTTCACTAAATACAAAGTATCCCATAACTGCTTTACTTTCAGAAGACAGAATTTCAAGTTTGACAAATTGAATCGGTACATAGTTTATGAAACTGAAAAATGTTTTTGCCATAACTTATATATAAATATTATTAAGCATCAAGTTCTGCTTTGATATATATCAAAAATTAAATTTTTTTTTTAATTAATTTCTTTTTATTAGTCTAATTTCTGCTTATATTTATTTATTTATCCTTGTTTAATTTTGATAAACAACGAGATGATTCTAAGAGTGTTGTAAATATGAATCAGATCATAATATAATATAATCATGTTTATAGATCATAATTAATAATATAATGAATATAATCATAAATAATAATAAATAACAAAAATAAAATTTTATAATTTCATTTTAATGTATTGCACACTTATATAGAACACAAAATGAACATACTAGAATGGCATGCTTGTGTCGACTGTGTCTCCTAAAAGAAAAGCAATCGAAATCTTTAATGTTTAACGAAATCTTCAATCTTTTTTAAATTATAAAAACTTTACAATTTTTTTAATAATCTTTCACATGTTTTAATGATTTCAGAAAACGAAAATGAATTACCACAATGAATTTCAAGCCATTGTGCTTGCTGGAGGAAAAGGCTCCCGTATGACAGAGCTCACAGCAGGCCAGCCGAAATGTCTACTGCCGATCGCAAACGTTCCTATGATCTGGTATCCTTTGCAAATTCTTGAGCGTTCGGGCTTCAAAGAAGCGATTGTTGTTATCGCTGAAGCAACCAAATCCGATGTGTTGGCGTCGTTGGATAAATTGGGTCTGAAAATCAAAATAGAATTTGTAGGAATTCCAGGAGCCGAGGACCTTGGCACAGCTGATTCTATCAGACTCATTCATGAAAAAATATATACGGATATCTTGGTGATATCCTGTGATTTGATCACAAATGTGGATTTATTGGAGATTCTGAATTTATACAGAAAACACAATGCAAGTGTAACTGCTTTGATGTTGCCTATACCTAAAATGCCAGACGACTTCGTAACGCCAGGTTTAGAAAACAAACAGAAACCAGAAACAGATTTGATTGGCATTGACAATAATACAGGTCGATTGGTATTCTTGGCTTCTGCATCTGATTTCGAGGAAACAATTAACATTTCGCAGAGGCTGCTCAGAAAACATGCTAGCTTCACTATTCACTCCAAACTGATGGATGCACATTTGTATATTATTAACAAATGGGTGATAGATTTTTTGATATATAACAAGTGAGTGATTTTACTAGAAAGAAACATTGAAGAGACTAAATCTAATCAAATGTACAAATGTTTTTCAGAAATTTAACAACGCTGAAAGGTGAAGTTCTGCCATATATAGTCAGTAAACAATTGTCTAGACCTAAACAGTCCATAGATGATAAGACATCTATGGTACAAATGGATTTGAAAGATGATATTTTTCATTTTGCATTGGAAAAACCGTTTGATGAGCTGATAAGAAAGATGTCAGCCTTTAACGATCATAGCACCGATTTGGAGGATACATATAATGGGGATGTAATACGATGTTATGCCCACGTGTCAAATGAAAAGTTTGGTCTTAGAGCAAATACCATACAAATGTATCATCTTGCGAATGCTAAGGTTGAGTAATGTTATTTATTTTAAATCTTTGTAACAAAGCAATAATATATATTATTCCAAACATTTAAGAGATGAGAATTTGAGACTTGTCAATTAAAAGTCGTCTACTTTCATAGATTATGAATCACAAATAATATGTTTACGCTTTAATATATTATGTTTATGCTTTTAATATATTATAAATTGAGGGATCAAGTAATTTAAGAAATATTCTGTACACAGATATCAGAATGGTGGAATGATGATAAAAATACTAATCAGTTGCCATTGCTGCCATGTATCTCGAGCATGGCGACTGTACGCAGTACACAGATGCAAGAATGTCGCATAGGTGATAATTCATTGATCGAAGAGAAAACGTCGTTGAAAAATAATCATATTGGGCCTAACAGCATCGTAGAATCGAAGACAAGAATATCTCAGAGTGTGATAATGGGACATGTAACTATTAAGCAAAGGTAAGTCGAAATATTAAAATGATTTATCTAATATATTTTACGAGTTTTTTTTATAGATGTGTTATCCACAACTGCATACTGTGTAATGGTTGTACCATTGAGGAAGGCACTGAATTAAAGAATTGCGTAGTTGGAGCACAACATATTGTGAAATCTGGTAGCCAACACTCTCACGAAGTACTCACTGATGCAGATAGACTCATAGAAATTTAATTTAATTTTTATTTTGTATACATTATTGTAAATATATATAATTAGATTATATTATTTGTAAAAAATTTTTAATGTATAAACAAGAAAATTGCCTTTTGTAATTCACTATCTAGATTACAAAGAAGTGTTCATATATCTAAATTATGCAATAATTTTATATTTAGATTGATATTTTTTTGCAAAAGAATTAAATTGTTTTTTATTTTGGAAAATAAATTTTTAATCTTATCGGTTACTTAATATATAATTTACTGAATAAACGAAATGAATTAAATTTATTAATTTTTTTATTGAATGAATTACCATCTGAGTAAAAGTTTCGTGGTAGTTTCAATCGGCATCTGCAGAGGTCGTTTGAAAACATCTCGTTCCCTATTGGTTGAATGCTGATTGAACGAAGAAACGTTCGGATTCGGAACGGTACATCGCCTTTTCTTTCGGGGTACTTTTTCATCTAAAATGGTGAGCATGAATTTATGTCATTTAAATCGATTTATTTTGCAGCGATCCTAATAGCCGGTCAATTGATCGGTGCGGAAAAAATGTTCTGAATTTTCATAGAACCGATATAATTAAATAATATCGAGCAAAAGAAAAATGTTCCGTATGATAGTGACATGATACCGGTTTACAGGTTATGTTATAATAATGTTTACGTGATAACACGTTGACATCACTTATTCCCTGAAATATATTTATCTTTCATTTATTTATCTATAAAGATGGTTTAAAATAACTCTTCTTTATATCGTATTATTGATCCATCTTTTTTTTTCTAAAATTTGTAACATGGAGTCATATGTTACATTCCTGTTTTTTCTTCATGTTCACAGACGAAGGGTACATCCAGCTTTGGTAAGCGGCGTAATAAGACACACACATTGTGCAGGAGATGTGGACGTAGCTCCTATCATATCCAGAAGTCACAATGTGCACAATGTGGCTATCCTGCTAAGAAAATGCGTTCATGTAAGTTGCCGCTGTATAATATAACATGTTTACATAGAGGATTGTCCATTATATTTATTCAAATATCAAATATTTAATGTTAATATAGAAATATTAATTAATGTTTGACGACTATAGATAACTGGTCAATCAAGGCGAAAAGGAGGAAGACCACTGGTACTGGCCGCATGCGTCATCTTAAGATTGTACGCCGTAAATTCAAGTAAGCTACAAATGACTATGTTAGAAATATGATAACTAACAAAAATTAAAACAAACTAAAAATCTATATATTTTTTAATATTTATTTGTTTTTTACTTTTAATCTTTTTATTAAATAAGAGGTGTAAACATTATCTAATTTTTCTTATAATTTACATGTACATAATTTATGTATACAATACATATAAACGATTTTATTCATGTTTACAGGAATGGATTCAGGGAAGGCTTACCAAAACACAAAGCTGTTGCAGCTAAGTAATGCATTGACTCCCCTTTGTCTTATTGTCTAATTAAGTTGTAATTTTGACTATCAATAAAAAAAATCCAGTCACAAAATTAGCACTTCAATGAGAATTCCTTATAATTCAATAATTCTAATAACATCGTATTTATTGAATTATTTACTTCTATAAAGTACTTATAACTATATAACTATTTATGAGTTTCATGCACTTTTTTATTACATTATCCAGACTTCTGGTTCTTGTATAGAGTTTCATTCTTGAATAGAATTTTACACAGGATAAATTTAACTGTTTATTTTGTCTTATTAAATAAACTTGAATTCCTATATGCTAAGAACTTATGTTGACTCTAAAAGGCTTTTTTTATTATATTGAATAAGTAATATAACTTAAAATTAAGTACACTCTTGCATTATCTTAGCTCTCCCCTCCAATTATTTTTCTCTATTAATACATCAAATAGTATTTGTAAACATGAACTTCTGATAAATCTGTGTATGTATTCTTATGTGTTATATCATATCTGACAAGAAAATTTGAAGACATGCGCGATCAGAAAGATAAGGTGTGTTGTCTACGTGTCGTTTGTACAATCTTCGTGGAATTTTTAATTATCGCGGCGTCCCGTATATTTAGTAAGCCTCCGATCTCGCCGAACAGTACGTTTGATGCACAATGATAACTCGGATGATTGGTGTAGCTTCATTGTGCATCTAGGCATCTGCCGATACTGCGCTCGAAGACCGTTGATCTTCAACTTGCCAATTTGAAAGTTATGCCACGGAACAATATTCAACGAACGTTTCGTCTCCATAAGCACCGCAGAATTAAGAAGATTCTCTCGATTAAATAATAAATAATTTTAAAAAACGGAGCGCACTTAAAATTCAAATAGTTGATCGAAGGAAAGATAAGGTATGTCATTAATTTGGTAGAGAAAGTAGATCAATTAATACTAAGTCTTTACATACACCGAAGAATTAAAAAGATAATTCATTCAATTAAATGATAGTAAATTTAAAGAAAGGAAACATATTTATAATTCAAATAGCTGATCAAAGGAAGGATCAATTAACGTTTCTACTACATAGGTACATAAAATCTGTTCCAATACCAAACGAATTTTCACAAGATTTGTATAGTACAATTCTGTACAAATGGGCGTTCTACGTCAACTATTGTTTGGTAAGTATACGTCTTTTATTTTTAGAAATAATAGCCGCTCGATTGTCTGAAATTTATATTTTTGGCTGTGCAGGTAAATATCTGTTAGTTACCAACACTGTGAGCTGTGGCTTGATGATGGCAGCGGGAGATGTGATCCAGCAGCGCAGCGAACATTGGAAGAAGCATTGTTCTCATAAATACTTTCCGAGCAGCGTTATGGCAGCGTCACCAGAAGATGAAAAGGTGACGATTTCCAGCACGTACGGACATGATTACATGAGAACCAGGAATATGATGATTGTAGGACTGCTTCAAGGTCCGTTTCATCATTGGTTCTATATGCTTCTAGACAAGATTTTGCCAGGCAGGAATGCAAAATCGGTCCTCAAAAAAACCTTTCTAGACCAATCGATCGCGAGTCCCACGTGCCTAACGATATTTTTTGTCGGCCTCGGGATTCTGGAGAATCGCAAAATCGAGGAGATCAGCAAAGAGCTAAAGCTAAAGTTCGGCGAAACGTGGAAAGTACGGGATTACACTCGTTAATCGATATTTCAATAACTGTAAAGAGCAAGTTTGTATAATAATTAAGGTTAAAAAATGCTGCTATCGAAAGTTTTCTTGTTAAAATGTAATGTACGTAATAACTTATTGAAATTATACTGCTAGGTCGACTGTTGCTTTTGGCCTCCTACGCAATGCATTAATTTCTTCTTTGTGCCTCTGCATTATCGGGTACTCTATATAAATGCTATGACGATGGTCTATGACATTTTTCTATCATATATGAAATATGTAAGTTTTACCTGTATATTTATCAAGTTACAATCAAACAAATATAAATTATTATTGTTTAAATTATGAGCTATCGCAATGAAGTAATAATTATTTATTTCATCCGCAGGACGTTCACTACGAATGATAAAAATCTCATGGCTAATTCTTCGCAAACTAACTAAGCTAGTCTGGGATAGTCTGAACGAAAGATATGATTGTGCAAATAATAATTAGGAAGCATGCATTATATTGTCTATCTTTAATAAACTGTATCGCAATGTTCAATAAAATATCGTCGAAAAGAATTTCTGAGTAAGATTACTGTATCTTCCCATTCCTATGTCTTATCGATTCAATCTGTTTGTTCGTTTCCACGATTTTTACCGGGATGACAAATAAATACGAGTAATCAACCACTGCAGTTCCTGCAATATGTGCAAAAAACTATCAATAACAATTAAAATTCGATTAATATAAGAATGTTGAGATGCTATTTTTTATAATTATATTTCGCGGTGATTTTCTTTAAAAAAATAATTTAATATTTTATTATTAACTACAACTTCTACTTGGCTAATCTTAAATCGTGACTACTTGGTAGAGAAATATTCTAAATTCAAAACTACGTTGTGACACTAATTATTAAAGGTATTACATTCGTTTTTCTGCGATCAGAATGAGATTTCTTTGCGAGATATCTCTTACCTCATAATACGTCGTATGTTCACACACAAACAAAAAATCTGATGGAAAACTCGGAAATTTATTGGTGACATTGAAACTTGAATTTGAATTGTAAATTATTCGTACGTGGAAAGAATAATACGGAGTGCGATTGCGAAATAATAGCGATCGAACTGGTCTGCGGACACGCGACGACACGTATCCTAAAACGCGTATTCACAATGAGATCGCCTTATCGCGTGCAATAATCTCTCATTGAGTTTATTTATTTGCTCGACAGCTTTTGTTTGGCATTTGGCGACAGTGGGATTACACGGTCTTCCAGTCGAACGTCGTCACGAGCAAACACGATTAACGGATATAAACACAAACAATAAATTCACCGTCGTGCAACACAAAATAATTGACGAAAATATTTTGCTTGTGAAATACAGAATTTTGTAATAGGTTTTGCTGATGCTTCCCGTTACTCGCGTTTTGCCTGTTTTTTTCTGTTGCCAATAAGACTGCGTCCTGGAATTAAAATACAGTTTTTGTAACATTCTAAAACTTTAATTTAGTCAATCTCACTCTAAAAAGTGAAATCTAACTCTTAAAGATTGAAAACTGAGACGCTTTCTTTCGAGACTGAGAGTCCACTCCAAAGAATTTAGAGAGAATAATTTTAGACTATTTAGAGAAAGTTTTTTTTTTCTGTGTAAAATAAAGATATGTGTACAATATATAGCGAGCAATCGTGAAGATCCCTGTTTCTTTCACAAGTTATTTACGCCGTATTTATCTCAAGACAAAAGATCATACTTATCCTATATATGCTCTCTTATGCTGTCACTTATTATTATCTCACTGTTTTCCGTAATGATATATAAATTGTAGTTTCCATCTTCTATAGATTATCTGCGATATTGTCAGTGTGATTGGGAATTTTTCACCGCGATAACAATAATATATAAAAATCCTTTGTACTTACATCAATAATCTTCGAATCGTTGTCTTCACACACAACGTTAACCTGCGGCTACAAAATTTTAAGATTAGTTTAACATACTTATTAAGCATTTATTATTCAAGATTTTTCATTTGATTTTTATTATTAAATATTAACGATGACGTATTGATCGACTTTATGCCCAATTTCTTCACCTCTAGATAACTTTATCCTAGAAGTATTTTTCAAAATACAATGGAGATATCTCCTGGATAAAGTTATCCGCAACTTATCTGGAAGTGAAAAAATGGGGCATTATCGAATTGTTAAATGGACGAGCACTGATAATTGTTTCCACCAATGTATTTAGATTAACTTTAACTCGGTTCAATTTACTCTTTATATCTCTTTCTAAAAATTAGGCATGATGAGAGAAGACGACTTGAACTAAATTCTGATTAAATTATAGTTTGCGATTAATTCAAATGATACAATCGCCTAGGGCAAGATTTCAATTACATGATTTATTGTTCTTAACAAAAAAAATTAATAGATACTTCTTGCTAATAACAGTATCACTTAATTGACAATTAAGTTAATTAACTTAATCAGCGCGATTATAATTCAACTGGCAATAAAATCGCCTAAAGCAAAATGTCTAACTTTATAACAGTTTTTTGTCTAACCTTTTTCTTCATACGTTAAACAATAAAAAATTAATAATTCCATTTTTATTAACAGAATAATATCGCTATTATATTATCTGATTAATTACTAATAATAAGTTAATCGGAATTTGGTCGAAGAATCTTTCTATAGATATAAATAGCGAATTGTGAGTATGAGTGAGAGTGTGAGTGTGTGAGGCCGGAAGGAAGGAGAGAGCGGTGGGGGAACTTGGAACAGCCGATGATTATTAGCTGACTTCAGTATGCTCGAAATTTTGGTTATATCGAGTAGTGATTTATTTTTTTCGTGAATACAGATGCACGAGGCATCGTTTGCGTCTTTCCGTGACGGTACCCGTGGCAAATGAGGTCGGCACGCTCCACATAGCATGCATCTCCACTCGACAAGACACCTGAAGGCTCTCTTCGTTTAATTGGCCTACATAACCGTTCCGACAATTATGAATTTGCAAACGCTTTTTCAAGACTTCAACCCGAGGTAATTTCCGTGTTATTCAATACAACACTCGGTGACTCATTGTGGACACCTTTGTGACATATTAATTATTCATATAAGTATGAATATAAATACTTATACAGCTATTATATAGTATCAATTTTAAATTTTAGTAAATTTCTGGTACACACATGTTTGATGATATTCACATCTCTATTCGCTCTTCGATTGGATGGTTTCATTGAATGGAGTTATTGGTCGATATTCAGTCCGATATGGTTCTGGAAAGGCATGGTGATCCTGGGAGCGATAGTTGGAAGCTATGTCTGGTGGAGGCATCCTCACGCGAGATTAGAAGGAGATGCCTATGTACATTATAAAGCAATGCTGATTACTCTGGCGTTGCATCTAATCTTGTTGATGTTCGAGTTGTTAGTATGCGACAAATTAGAATCCGAAAGGCACTTATGGATTCTGGTATTCATACCTTTGATTTTTATCTCAATAGTATCAATTGCGGTAAGTAAATATGTCTTCAAACTGCTACTAGTGGTTATATATCGATGAGTTCTTTCATTTTCTAATCCTTGTGATTTAGGTTTGCATTTGGGCTGTAAAACATGATCGATCGTTTGAATTGGAACTTTTTTGTGCAGTGAATGTATTGCAATTTATCTTTTTGGCTTTGAGATTAGACGGCTTTATAACATGGAGCTGGGAAGTTGTGTTCGTACCACTATGGGCACTTCTTTGTTTATCGTTGGTAGCTGTTTTATATGCGATAGTATTCGCCGCTGTTTTATTGAGAACGCCACAAATCAATGCCCGGCAGAGGCGGACCTCTTTGCACTCAGCGGTGGCGTATACATTTCTCGTTGTTCCCATTTTAGTATTTCAGGTATAATTAGCATATCATTTCATGTGTGTGCATGTCTTATTAAATAAATTATAATTGTTTTAATTCTCTTTTCATAGTGTTATTTGATAAAAATTATTCTGCTTTAGGTACTGCTAGCGAATAAATTAGATGGAGATATTTCAATAAATTATATAACAGTGGCAATGCCACTTCTTCTATCGCACATGACTCTTATTTTTATGTCTTTTGGTGCAAAAGGCGGAAATAGATGTAAGACATAATCTTGTAGATTATTATTTAACATTAATCTAGAACAAATCTGTCCAAAATTTAGCACTAAGACGCTCCCCACGTCTCATTGAGCGAGACAAATGGAAAACAAAAAAAGATAGACGTTAGAGCAGCTAATTGCGAGGCAGAACTCTAGCGTTTACTCTTTTTATTTTCTATCTCTCATTTGACAAAACATTAGGAAGGTGGAAGCATTTAACTCATGAGCTGAGTTTTGAATAGGCTTGCTCAGTTGCTCTAGAATAATGATATATTATTATTTTCTTTTGTGTGATATAATACATGTATAAGATTATTTTATTATTATTAATTTTATTTATTAGCATGTAAGAACGATGGACTTTTTGTTTAGGGTGGTTTGGTATCAGAAAAGACTTTTGTCACTTCCTGCTAGGTTTATGTCCATTGCTTCAAGAATATGGTAATATTTCTTATCAACCAAGAGACGAACGAGATCAACCACCATCTGAGCCAATGATTACAGACAAGAGCGAGAAACTTATTAAGAAAATCGACCTAATGAAACCTGTTGTGCCTATAATTTCTATAGACATGCCTGACTGATTGGCTCAAAACAGGTATTTGTTGCAAAGATATATTTGAGAAATATATTACATACAGCAGTGTGTAATCGACGATGTTTAAAATTCTTCGTTCTGTTATCTTTCAGGGTTAGCTCGGCTATTTTTAAATTGTTATTTTTAATGCAACTGACTTAACAGAGGCCAAATATATATTATAAAATAGTCAGGTATACTTTTTATCTTAAATACTAAATATGCATAATTATTGTTATATTGTTATATTTATTTATATTATTCCCTTCATTACTTTTATTTATTCTAGGCCTTATTAAGCAGAGATCGAATTACACAGATGTGTATATATATATATATACATATATACATATATATATATGTCGGCTGGGATACAAGACTGAGCACCTCGCATCTCTAGAATAGCATTGCCAGAAAGCGTCAAAAAATGAAAAGAGCGGTTGGACAAATTATAAATTAGAAAAGTGATGTTTCTGTTAATGTTGGACATTGTAATGTTAAATGCCCGATCATTTATTATATTATAATGTAGAAATAATGTATATACAGACTGTTACTCATTATCATAATATTACGTATGATGGATATTGAATATTATACGGGTCTACTATACGCGACGATGGTAGACAAGTACTAGTAACGTTACATTATTTTATATATATATTACATCTAAAAAATACTATTATAATCTAATAAAGTTTCTATTTTTTGGTATCAACAGCAACGATCAATTAATTTCTGCGATATACTGCTAATTTAATATATAAAACAATATTGCACGTGGATATCGAGACTATTTCAGATTTTTAGTAATACTATTCAACAGCTTTTTACTGCAATTATTATAAGCATTATAAACATAAAAGTGAATATGTTGAATTTTTTGTTCGACATTGCAAAAAATCTTTGTAAGTTATGTAATTTATGAAAAAAATAGAAAAGTACGTCGTGAATATTTTATTTCGTTATGTATCCTGTTACGGTTGTAAATTTTGTTGAAACCTCTTTTTCACTTCTCAGGAGATTACCACAATGGTACATATTCCGGTACCCAGGTCCGACCAAGGAGCGAGGATAAGTTCGTCGACACTTTAGCGATATCGAAGTCCGTATCTTCTGTCAGTGATGTTTCCGAAACGTACAATACCTGCAGACGATGTGCGCACAACGCAACAAATTTCGCTAACCCGGAACAGCTATAAAATGGAAAAAAAATTATTTCTTATTAATATTTTGTTGAAAAAAGGTGTGATGTGTGTTTCTCGATATATATCATTGCTGCAATATTGAAATATCCATTAATAATAATTCATTATTAATGAGATTCTGAGATATTTTTTGACAAATTCTACAAGTTAATAATTAAAATTAAACATTAGTGATGAACAAAATGAAGACAACAGTTTCATTAATTTTCAAATTGTGTATTTTCATGAAAGAAATAAAATTTAAATTTACAATATCTTGGAATTAATAAAGATGTTTCAATATTGAATTAGAGTAGCGATATAGCATATTCATGAGTACAAACGTGATTTCACAATCGCCCAAACTGACGGCACTAAGGTGCGAGCAACTCTTGGCCATGGAAATCAGGAATCGATCGATCGGACCGGATTCGTATGTGGCGATAACTAATTCTATCAATCGTGGACATTGCTTGCTTATGCGTGACATCGACTTGGATGTTGCGTCGCCGAGATACAAATGTGTTACGGGGATGTGCGACGTGAAAAGTAATTTTTTATTATCGTCGTCGGTCATGTAAGATAGTCTAATGAAAAATAAAAAATACAGCTGCAGAGCTTATTTTGACTTTTACTCGCATCGGACGGATATTGTAGTAATAATTCTTAATCAAGATGTATATAGTTTGTTTTTACTTACAGCGCAAGATTTATGTCAGGCAAATGATTCGAAAACGCGGACCATGCTTTGTTGCTAACAAGTGGAAAAGGCTTCGCTTCTGGGTATGCTTCTATTCGCAGAGTTTCCAAGTGGATTTGCTTCACCGAACATAATGCTAAGAGCAGCTCATCGCTCAGCAAGGCATACGATAAAGATAATTCGCGAAGCCATCGACAATAATTGGTCAAAGCGAGGATACCTAAAACATCGATGAACTTCCTTAACGCATGTATGTGCAATTTATGAAACTGCAAACTTAACTTTTATTCGTTGCTAACGATGACAGCATATAGTCTTCGAATTACCTTCGGGCAATAGCCGCGGAAATCCTTTAATTCGCACAAGATGTAATGTTTTGGGATCGTTTTCATCACCGCAACAATAATCTTTTCTGCATTCGACATTCTTAGTCTTAGAGATCATTACTGCAGATTTGAAACGCTCATCGTTGATCCCGAGCTTCTCTGTGCTCGTCACCGCAAACATTTGCGATAATAAATCGAGATGTTTAGTTTTATACCACTCTTTCAAACTGAATCAATGAAAATTTCGATTAAAATAATATAGGATTTCACTTCACAGGGAATTAATGAGTATTTTATTCAATCTTTTCATCTTATTTTACGGTATAGAATTAAGCAATTTGATTTCTGAGACGCTTATATATTGTACTTTTTTACTCTTTAATTTTAAACTTTCTATTTGCAGTCACTATCCCCAGAATTTAATATCCTTAATCGAAATAATCTATCATTAACTAATTCTTTCCAGTGAAATCTCATTGAATCCGACATTAAACTTATAACTGTTGCTGTATATTCTTATCTGCTTTCCAATGGTAATACACTAATTCCATCTAAGAGAATGCGTTTTCTTACTCGCGGTTCGAACGTTCTGTCGTGATGAGAGAACTCTGGAGTCCGCCGCAAAAATATTCGCGCAATGAGTGTTCTCGATAATAAACTGAAGATACGTTCTTTCGTTCTGTCGCGAACCATGGTCCTCCGTGAAACGGTCTGCTTCAACTCACCGAGATGAGTGTTAGGAACAAGCGAAAGGAGTTTGCGGAAGTGGGGACTAGGGCATGCACGCGAGGTACGTTAAGTAAAAGTAAAATCGCGAAGAAAAGGGTCAAGGACTTCCCGAGATTGCTGGCTCGCGTATGTTCTTCGCGCACTGTTCACGTGTATTACGCAAAAATGTAATGTCTTATACACGAGGTCTCCACGGGAAAAGCATGATAAACGCGTGATCCAAGATGCGAACTTGTGCGATTAATCAACCAATAGTTAAAAAAAAAACGTGATTATATACACTTTGATCAAGAAAATATTGAAGTCAAGATTATAACAAAATTTTCGTTACATATTTTTTATCTATAGAATTTAGTGCTAATTGCAGATAATAAAATCTTACATAAAAGAGAAATTAATCACTTGCAAAATATTATAATATATTAAAAGATTAAAATTTTGGTTTTTAATGAGTTTAAAGTAGTAACCGGTAACTGTTTACTTATTTATTTAGTTCTTAACGTCTTGCACGTGACGTTCCTTTCACTAACCGTTCACGTGCTATCAAGCTCACGTGTATGGATCGTTTGCGCCCCTTCACGTCTTTCTGACATTCGTGGAGGCCAGACTATCCCAGTATCAATGTATAATTAACTCGCAGCATATGTTACAGTCACCGTAAAAAATATGATTGTTGCATATAATAAAAATGCTGAATTATTAATACCAAGCAGTGGAAATTGGAAAGACAGCTTTAAAGAGTAAAGATTTAAGATAAAAGAGTAACGAATAAAAATTTGTGGAAAAAATAACTCTATCTCATATAATTTTTTATAATAAAAACATTTATAGTTCTGTTTGGAAAAGTTAGACTTATTTAATAATTAAAAGTAAATTTATATAAAGAGCTTTTATTTTCACATATAAACTTATTTTTATTTTCTGTACAGTATTAATTACATATATGCTTATTATATATACATATGTCATTATATAGTTAATAAAATATAGTTAGCAGTAATATACATACAATTCTCTTTTTTCTTTGAAAATAAAAGTTCAAGATTTTATTTTATTATCTTCGAATCCTGCTACAGACCATTTATTTAAATGATTTTTTAAAACAAAAGGAAAGAGGGACAGTACCTTAAAACAATTTCCCATTTTATCTTCATCGGTTATCATATGATATCCTGACTCAATGTGTTCCTTTTGATTATTAGAAGCATTCTGTAAAATCATTTTTAACCGTAAATCGATGCCAAGACTTTTCAGGAATTTTCTTTGCGTCACTGGACCAAATGTGATTAATCTATCGTCTTTCTGTGCAATCTCTTTTAATAATAAAAAATCAACATCCGCAGTCAGATCTGCAGTTCCAGGATTTAACAAGGGATCGTGTAATTTATGCTTGCAAAATGCGCGAAACGTATCGGTCTTCTCCCTCTCGTGACCATAATCAATTACTAGTGCAAATCCTCCATGTTCCCACAAAAATTGGGACATGTAATCTATTATCACAGAGCACTGTGGACTTATTTCTACATGATCTCTTTTCTCGTGCGGCTAAAAGATATCGCTTTTATTACTCTATTATCTAAAACTTAAATGCTACAGAAAATGACGCAAATAAATGCTCACAGATAGGTATACTTTACAAGCAGCTGTTGGTATTTGCGAAAGTACATATCGAAATCTTTCTTCCTTTGAGTCTTGCACTATATCTATTAAGATTTCCCTCCAACCTTTATCAGTTTTCTAAAATCAAGTGATGACTTTTGTGAAAATTATCCTTTATACATTTAACGCACATTTTACGATAAGCCATCAGTAATAAATCAGAAATCGGAAGCTAGAAATTAACTAATCATAGTCAATTATTCTTCTCATATTCTATTGTGATTGGAATATCTAGCTTCTGATTTCTGATTTATTACTATAATGGCTTATTGTAGAATGTGTATAATACATTAATATCAACGTTCCATACCTGGAATTTATGTATTGGTAGAGCATCAAAGAACTCTTGTGCAATAAATACACTAAACTTTCTAGGAACATCATTGATGGAATAATACCAATATATCTTTACATTGTCTCTCGTAACACCCTCTCTATAATGTGTAACAGAATTCTTTTGGTCTTCATTGACTCTTGGCTCAACACTTTTACTTTTGATGCACAATTTCTCTGCCTGAATTACAGACAAAACGGGACTGATTTCTATTAGATGAATCGATATTTTATTTGAAAGATTCAATTTTTTGAACACCTAAAATAAGAGACAACTCGTAACTTTTATAGTTGTGTTAGATTTGTAATGTCATATTGAAAATATACCCTTAAGATATCATTGATTAAGGTACCTCTTCCTGGACCTAATTCCACAAGTTGGATAGAATCTCTACTAATTTTTCTCCACTCATTGATTATCCAAATTGCCATAATCTATCAATGATGATTAATGTATAAGCTACTTTTAGGAAATAATTTCTTGGTAATTTTGAAATACAAATAGGAAAAGAAAAGAGGAGATAGAATGATTTCAATACGGATATCGTTGCAACGCTAACTTTGTAATTTCTTATGAGATCATCGACACAATAAATAAATACAGATCTTTTTCAGTTCGAACAGTTACATACTTCCCCAAAAAGTTGACTGATTTCTGGAGAAGTTGTGAAATCGCCTCTTTGCCCGAAAACATCTCTAGTTGTATAATAACCTGCAGTGGGATGAATCAAGATCTCCCTCATGTACTCTGCGAGCGTTATAGGCCCGCATGCTAATATTTTTGCATACAATTGACGATATAGATCCGTTTTCTTTTCTAAACTGCTCGACGAGCGTAATGTCATTTGCGAAAAACGAGAGAAAGTTCGCGCTAATCGAGATAACGCAATCATGTTAAATACCTTGCGCTGTATGTACATAAATTATTTGCATAATTACAATTCATGTAATTGCAATAATAGATTTTTATACGAAAATTTTTTTATATGAATTTATCACGAATTTCTTAAACAGTATAGGTTAGGTTGATCGATTAGGTCAGGTTAGGATAAGTTATGCCTTTTTCCACGAAACAAGAAATAACTGCAGAAAGCGAAATTGCAAGAGAATTGACAATTGAGAGAACTCTAATATTATTGAGTGTGACTATCAAAGTGACATAAAAATTACTCTATTTAAATTTTTTACATTTTTTGAGCGTAATTTTAAACTAAGCGATCTATTTTTGACAAATGGATATCGGAGAACTGTTATCTTATAAGGTATGTAATCGAATTAGCGATTTGTATAATTTATATTTATATATCTCTACAATATATATATTATTTAATTTAACTTCTCGCTTATATGTCATAACTTTCGGTTTATAAAAATTTTCTTTGTTAATTTTGTGATTTACTTTTTCGTTTGCTATAAATAACGTACAGTAATTAAATAGTGATAATATGTATAGCCTCCAAACACACCAAAACGACCGACAGCAGGGGAGGAGGATGATGAGGATGAATGGGAAAATGCAAAAAGGCCAAGGAGAGTGATAAAAACACCGTATCATGCACGTCAACGACAACCCAAGGAACTCGATGTAGTACCGTCTAGGAACGATGAACCTGCTACGCCTATCAGAGCTGCTTTGCCTTCGTCGACTAACGATGTAGTTGAACCACAATTAACGGAGAAGGAGAAGCAAGATATATTAAAATATGTAGAAACTGAGGCTCCCGAAGTCGAAGCTTTGGACGAAGCAACGCTTAAACGTATGATTCTTTTGTTTGAGAAGAGAGCTCTGAGAAATCAGGAAATGAGAGTTAAATTCCCAGATCAACCAGAAAAGTATGCAAACAGATGGAAGCTACATAAATATTTGTCAGGAGGAAATCTCAAGTATAATTTTAATCTCTTTGGACTTTTACAGATTTATGGAATCTGAGGTAGAACTGCATGAAACTCTACAAGAGCTTCATATCATAGCGACCAATCCAGATCTGTATCAGTTAATGGTAGAACTGGGCGCTGTGCCTTCTTTATTAGAATTATTGTCTCATGAAAATACTGACATAGCAGTTGGTGTGGTAGATCTTCTGCAGGAATTGACTGATGTAGACATATTACACGAAAGTCAAGAAGGTGCAGATACACTTATTGATGCTTTGTTGGAGCAACAAGTTTGTGCTCTCCTAGTACAAAATCTTGAGAGACTCGATGAAACAGTAAAAGAAGAGAGTGATGGTGTCTATAACACACTTGGTAATTATTTAATAAATGCATATTGTTTGTTTTTTGTTTCTGCAAAACTATTTCTATTGAATTAATTCAACAATGGTTTTCTTTTTATTTCTAGCTATTTTTGAAAACCTGCTGGAATTTAGACCAGACCTATGTGCAGATGCAGGAAAACAGGGTCTAATGCAATGGTTATTGCGCCGAATTAAAACGAAAACACCTTTCGACGCGAACAAACTTTATGCCAGTGAACTTCTATCTATACTTTTGCAGCACACGCCAGAAAATAGACTTCTTTTAGGTGATTTGGATGGAATTGACGTTTTATTACAACAATTAGCTGTATGTATTTTTTTAATAATTTGTGCATTGCACATAATGTTATCAAGTTGAATTATCTTAAAACTGATTATTTACAGTATTATAAGAGGCATGATCCACAAACTGCAGAGGAACAAGAGATGATGGAAAATTTATTTAACGTTTTGTGTTCAAGCCTAATGGCCACAGTAAATCGTGATAGATTTCTGCGTGGTGAAGGTCTTCAACTTATGAACTTAATGTTGCGAGAAAAAAAAATGTCACGAAATGGATCTCTCAAAGTGGGTTTATTTACAACACGTTTTGTTTTGGATTTATATAAATTATTACAATTGAAATGTTGTAGGTTTTAGATCACGCTATGAACGGCCCAGATGGAAGAGATAACTGCAGCAAATTTGTAGATATTCTTGGATTGCGAACTATATTTCCTTTGTTTATGAAAACTCCAACAAAAAATAGAAAAAAAATGCTTACTGCAGAAGAACATGAAGGTATTAGAAGATGTATAGAGTCTCGATATATTAATATTATTTAAAAAAATTGACGAATTTAATTATTTATAGTAAAATAATAAACAGTACTTTTGCAGAACATGTTATTTCAATCATAGCAAGCATGTTGAAGAATTGTAAAGGACAACAGCGTCAAAGATTACTTAGTAAGTTTACGGAGAATGATTTTGAGAAAGTTGATAGATTAATGGAATTACACTTTAAATATCTTGAAAAGGTAGAAGAAGTGGAAAAGAATGGAAAGGTACATACACAATCAGAAACATTTAACAGACATATCTAAAAGCGAAAAGTTTAAAAAACTTATGTTCTCGATTTTTTATTTTTATCACAAGGAGGATGAAGACGAAGAAGAGTCTTACTTGAGAAGATTAGATGGCGGGTTATTTATATTACAATTAGTAGATTATGTACTTTTGGAAGCTTGTACTGGTTGTCCGCCTGCAGTCAAACAACGAGTGACAAGAATCTTGGCGCAGAGAAGAGCATCCCTTAAAACAATTCGACACATCATGAGAGGTAAATGACATATATCTAACGGCATATTTAATCACAAATTTATATCAATAATGTATTCATATTTTTTACTTCAAAACTAGAGTACGCCGGTAATTTAGGAGATGCTGGTGACACAGAATGGAAAGAAGCAGAGCAACAACATATCTTGCAATTAATTGATAAATTTTGATATGTATTTTCTATATTAAAATATATTGTTATATATATAGTAATGTAATAAGACTTAATAACTTTGTATTATTATGTAATGTACAATACAATAATCATAATAAATATATGTACAACTCCAGTATATAAAATATCAAAGTATGTAAAAAATGTGCTATTGATTAAGAGTTATTTAAGGAGAATTTTATTTATGGAGTAGAAAGCTATTTTTATGAAAAACTTGCGATTAATCCATTCATAGGTTTGTGTTATCTATAAAAATATCTTATAAAAGGCCTAGGATCGCCATTTCATGTTATTTGCTAAATATAATATTAATATAGAGACTACTTTTTGGAATCCGAGGAATCATTATTATCTTTTCCTATTCGAACATACAAAGTAATTACATGCGTGTTACATAATTGATTAATTGCGAGCGTTCTTGCGAGATTACTAGTAACATTTTAAATTTTAACATTGAGATAATGATCCGATAGGGATTGAAACGTCTGTTTGAGTTTGTTGTATATAATTTGATTGTTTATTACAAAGTTTTTCTCAGTTAACATCTAAAGTGGTTCGTAGCCCTTTATATTATATTAATTTATTTCTAATATTAATATAATAAATGTATAAAATAAGAAAATTATTATTTTTGTGAAAGAACAAATTTAAAAAATATTCTAATATCGAACATTCATTTAAAAATTTTTTTCAATTTTGCTAGATTCGTTTAATGGTCATGTTATTCTGAAAGTTAAGGTTGTAACGGAATCGACCAATCACAGTTGGGCACCTTCAGAATGGGTTAGGTTAATAAAAATATAAAGCCAGTGACGATTTGAGTAGAGAAATGAGAAATAAGTTGTTCGTACATATAGAATTATATGAATAGATTCTATTCTGTATTTAATTTTTTTTAACGAGATATACGTATAGATAAAATATGGATAGTAGTATAACTAACAATGCAACAGTAGGCCCTCAAGCAATACAAAGTTATCAACAGATACTTGACAATGTGCTCGTACAGGTATAAACTTATACTTCTCAATTAAATTTTATGCACTGATTTCCTTATTTATACATTACATTATATATTACATTCGTTATATTAAAAAAATTGTAAACTAACTTATATTACAGAAACTTGAACAAAATGAAAAACGAACCAAAGCAATAACAGATTATAAAAAGGGGCACAAAAAAGTAATAGAGGGACTTGAAGCATACCCATTATCACTTTCTGAGAATTGTATGGTACCCATCGGCAAGTTGGCGTTTATGAGAGGAAAATTAACTCATACTAATGAAATCTTGGTTTATTTGGGAGAGGGCTATTTTGTCAAGTATAGTGCATCACAAGCAATTGCATTATGCAATAGAAGAATAGCATGTATAAATATTACATATATCCTTGAAGAAAAACATTTTATTAGATTTTACGACTGTTATACGTTTTTATGTTATCAGGGGCGGATGAAATGCTGAAGAGTTTAGAAACCGAAAGAAACTTGTATGAAATGAGACAATATATTCCATTGGAACATGATGTTTTTGGCAGGGACAGAAAAGATATAGTCGAACATTGGACCGAGGATGAGCTTGATGAGTGGAAAGGTATACAGAAAATTTGTCGTACGTTTTTATTTACATTATGCTAGACATTGAAATTAAAATGTTCTTTTGCAGTGCAACATAGACAACGTGAGAAGGAGCATCGTCAGAAACTAGCAAAGTTGAAGGAAAAAGAAAAGACTAACATTTGTACTGAGGAAGATCTTTTTAAAAGACTCAGCGAATTGGAGATGGAAGAAGAATTAGAAGATGAAATTTACAGGTTACTCAGTTTTACAATTAAAACTTATTTTTAATGAGAATCGTAATCTATTGCTTACTGTTTTATACAATTGCAGATTGGAAATCGAACGAAAAGCATATTATGGCGATGACTTGAAAGATGGCGAAGTTTATGATGAATCAGAAGAGGATGAATCCGATTCTGATTCTGATCAAATTACAACAGAGAAAATTCAAGAAGAATTAAAAAAACTGAAAGATATCCAAATGGATAGACCTACAAATGACACGTCGAATGGCAATTCTAATACAGCTCAAGATAAAATCATTGATACAGGTGTTATAAAGAATAAACAGTCGCATTCCCCTACAAATTTTATCCAAGAGAAATTAAGGGAGGAGAATTGTTTGCCTGAACATAAGGAAGTGTCTAAAGACACAAATACAAAGGATAAAAGGAGAATATCATTTGCTGAGCCATGTGTCATAGAAGACGAAAGCAATACAAATGAAGTATCAATACCTCAAGAAGTCTGTTCTGCTCTGAAGCAAGATGATACATGTAATGAAAGTTCTGAAGATGAAAATGATGCCATTAAGATTGAATTTTCACATTCATCTCGTACTCCAGATATACTTAGATCAAATAATATGGAAGTACAAAGTCCAGTAGATATTTATAAAATGTTTAATGCTCCTAAATCGATTTTGAAAAGATCTCCAAATGATATGATTTTCAATGAAGTTGCTCCTCCTTTAAACGAGAGCAATAGTACAGATACAGAAGCTGAAGACGAATATGTTAGTTATAAATACAATTCTGTAGGTACAAATAATTTGATCATACTATATTATCACGTAAATATTGTATATACTAATAAACATATTTTGTAGATGATCAAAGAGAGAGTTCAAGAATGTAAAACTTCACCTGTAAATGTTTCGACAGAGAAAGATGAAAAAAGAATTGTGAGTAGGTTCAAACTTGAACGAGCCAGAAGAAAGTGATGATTTGTAAACACATATATTGAAATTAAAAATCTATTTTCATAAATATATAACTTTCCAAAATTACATTTATATTCCAATTATATGAGTCATTTAAGAAACTATTTTGATTATCAACCTTATAAAGATCACAATATAACCTACATACGGTGATGCTTCGAATTTCAGTAATGAGTTCAAATGACATTAATAAGAACAAAACGCAGGATAATGTACATAATATTTACAATATATTTATTTCTGCGATTTCCATACAATAAGTGAGCCATTTATTTTTTCAATAGGATGGAGGCAGGACATGGTAGTAAATGAAATAGACATAATTACTGTCTAATATAACATTAATTCTATGTTGAAAACAATCCACTATCTCGCACATCCTTAAGAATATTATATAGGTGCCTTCTCGACCAATTTGAACCAGTGGCCGCATTCACAACGCCGTGGAGGACCTTGATGCAACCACATCCAGTTTACATGTAATGAATCCTCATCACAGATGCATCCCATTATGCGACTTTCAAATGCACTATGTACTATATTAGGATCTTCCTTTGTGCTGACTGCTCGCCGCTTTATACTCATATTATATGGATCCTAAAAAGATACAAGTTAACATATATGTTTTTAACAAGATATTGATATTCATCACAGTGATGTCTATTAAAAAAATACTAAGATAAAATATACACAAGTCTATAAAAAATGATCATGAAAGAAACATGTTCTCATTATAATATTAATTTCTTATCTTTGATACTTGAAAAGCCTTATCAAGAACTTTATTTTTCCAAATTTATCACATACAACATTTCATTAATATTGTGGCATAATAATTATTATATCGCTAATAATAATTATATCATTATATAATTATATGTCGTTAATATAATTATTATATCACTAGCACAGCAAAGCCATAGGCAAATGTCCACACAGGCGTGCTAGCCAAACTGTAAAATGTCAACTTACATCGTTACCGGCTAAATAGGCGAGCATTTCTCTCTTCTCCAAACCTGTGGCATGATCGAGCGAATCGGCAACTGTCAAAAAAAGAAAAACAGAGATATACGTATGAATCGACCGAATTTTCTTTTCTCTCTCTTCATCACGCGCAATACGTCGCCGTGGACCGAAAGTCAAAATCAATGGGCGAAAAATATTACGTAATGTAGATAATGTGAAAACGTGAAAAATCTGTGTGGGACGGACGATTCGATGGTTCGTCTCGGAAGCGATATTTACATTCTTTCTTTTGGGAGCACGCGAGGCTATAAGAGATCCGCCGTCGACATGTTTGGAGCACGGTACGAGCGCATAACCATGCCATTTTTCAGAATACAGAAGATACTACACTAGCCGTGTCTCGGCCCGACTGGGTTAAGTCGTCAGTCTTTCAGTCGCGGATCGAACGATGCGCAGATCGTCGTCCTGCCAGGCTACTAAACGGACGCTAGCGAGGCGCTGCGGGCTGCAGTATACAGAATTGACAAGTGATTAATTCGAATGAATGAACTTAGCCGATATATTGGATAATTATACAGTCTAAAAATATATTTAATTTAAATTATCTAAATAATTATTGAATTTCTTTAATTATAATTTATAACTTCTTATACAATACAAACGATTATAAAAAAATTTTGTTTAATTTATTTCTGTTGATCAATTGCATATAATGCAAAAATATGTAATTAAAATTATTTTAATGACTGTCGAGTCTCATAATTACATTTCAAAAATTCATACAACATATAAATAATAAAGAATTTTGAAAAAATCAATTGAATCGGCTAAATTTGTACGAATTAAGGAAAGTTTGTAAATATCTTTGACTTTTTATAGATTGCTTGTATTATTGATTGAATTAAATCACATATTTCTATTTTTTTAACTCGTTAAGAGCAAACTTACTTTTTTCTTGTGATTACACATTTTTTAATTTAAACTGCAAAAATGTTAAGAATATATGAAGATGCTAAAAAAATAGAAATTCGAATTGTAAAAGGCGACGTATTTAAGTAAAGACAGGAAAAACAGATTTTATTTAAAAAAAGAATATTTTTATTATATATATATATATAATTGTATACATATAAAATATATTTTGTTTAATGTTTACAGTGACATCAGCATATAGAAATTTTACTTAGGACCTCTTTCATTAACTCCGATTAACGTTAATCGATGGTTGACTTAATCATCATGATTGCTAATGTGAGAACTAAACAGAGTTTGTCTCAAAAGAAGAGGAGAGAGATATTTTGAAACATTAAACTGTGCTATTAGCACTTCTGCGAGTTGATCATCGATTAATTTAATTAATCGAAGTTGGTGAAAGAGTCTTTAGTCTTTTTTTTTCATATAATAAGATCTAGTAGAATTTGAAATTCGCGCGAGAAAGGCACAAGTTCTCGACATGTATTGGTAACGCTGTTTCTGATATTAGTTATTGTTCCAAAATTTATTACCAGTATTGAAAATCTGAAGTTTACATTACGTGCATCATAGATTTTTCAGTACTGGCAGTAAATTTTGGAACATAGTTTGAAGTCGGCTCTTTTCCGTGAAAAGAAGAGATAAGTTGAGGTTCATTCATTTGTATAACATTATATATTTTTATTATAAAGGTTTGAATTTTTTAATAACGCACAGCCGTGAATTGCTTTTGAGCGCGTTCTTTCAGAATGGATGAAAGTATACTTCAGTTTACCTATAATCAATTAACTTTAACTAGACAGCTTAATTTTCAGTGAATATACTTTTGATAAATCATATATTTTTAAAGCTACTATATGTACTATTGTTCTTCTTGGCTAATAAAAACACGGTATCTCTTTGGGAAAACATTAATTAAAGAATTCGATTCTTTTATCTATTTGATATTATTAAATTTATATAATTTGGAAATTATCAATGAATCGACGTTTAATTGTTAAGAAAAGTTGATACCAAGCAAAAGTTGAATCCTTCCCAGTAATTATGCTATTAAAATTAAAATTGAACACCTGACATTAGGCGGACATTAAATATAATCGCGGTATTAAATATTCATGAACAATTACAAAGTATGTACATAAATATTTAAGACATTTGTGATATCCAGTGTACATAATATATATAGTATGCACATACAATATATATAATATGTATATTGAGCTGTGTGTGTTCTTCTTACGAAGAATTTAAGAATGTCCAACCTATATATTTGTTAATGTAAAAAATATTTGCATTTTTCCCATTGTACTAGATTTGCTAGCAGTACAAACCACTGCCTTGATTCTCAATAATATATTTCGTTAAATATTGTACCAACTTCTCATTTAATCCTAAATTCGGTAACTCTCTTTCAAATTGTTCCAGGGTACCAGCTCCTGCGATGTAGCCATTCAACTTGGCTGCTAGTGGAGACTCACACAAAATTTCTCGTGTGTTGAAGCCCAATGTCTCAACCAGCCATGGATGATTCTGCAGTCGATATTTCTGATGGTAACTAGAAAGATACGTAAGTTTTAATTAAATTGGATATGTCTCGTCTTTTATTACATTTGTGCAGTTTAATTATATTATCTTATTTTTTCTATATTATTTACATATTTTATTATATACTTTTTTTTATTATATACTATTTGTCTGTTAAAATATGCAACTGAATTTATTGTGTCTATCTATGGAAATCTAATAAAAATATTTTTTAAATGCTACTACATTAGAAATATATTTAAAATTGTAAAATTACAATTATTTTGGATTTATCGTTAGCAAATTATCTATTTATAACTTAATATTATTATTATAACATTATTGTCATATTATTACGTAATTATATCATATCATATAACGATTATATAAACATGCATTTTATCAACAGTCTAGATTAGTTGATATAAATGTTGGCAGAATACTCGACTCTCTAAACTTTTAGAATGAATCTCACTTTGAAGAGTGAAATCTTATTATTAAAGATTGAAAATAGAGCTATTCTTTTTCAAGTTTGACTCAATTTTCACTCTTTAGCGATTCTACTCCAAAAAATTTAGAGAGCATGTAATGTTGAATAATAGAGTAAGAGTACAAAAGAATTAAATTATTGAATAAAAGCAACAACATATATATATATATATATATATATAGACACAAGTAAAATGAAAATGTCACTTACTCTTCGGCTGGATAAAACTTTGAAGACTTCTGAATTTCTGTGACAAAGACTTCTCCACGCTTCCGCTGTTCCTGCTCGCGAGATTTTTCAGCTTGTAATCTTTGTTCTTCATCGTGATACAAGATCAGTGACATGTACTGCAAATTAAGTTAATATTTAGCATTTAGTTTGTATGCAAATGACATGTGAATGATGTTTTTAATTATTTACCACACTAAAATAGAGTGATTTAAGAATTATAGATAAATTTAGTTTGCCAAATCAAGACTTTGTTCTGTAAAGGATGCACTATCTTGGCACACTTCAAAATTTAGAACTATATATTTATAACTCTTAAATCATTCTATTTTTTACTGTATGTGGTCAAACATAATTAAAGTGTATAAGCAACATACCTGTCTTTTAATCTTCTTTGTTAGACTATATTCATGATTGTTCCAAAACAAGTTCAGTAGATGTGTGTAAGATATTAGTTCTGGGTCATATTCGATGTTGATGACCTCAGTATGGTCTCCCCTGCAAAGTAGAAGTAAAGAATGTCAGAAATGATTTTCTGAACCTTTCAATAAATTATATTATTATGACGACTGGATGATAGCAATGGGATATTAACATGTTCTTGTATGCCGGAGACTCCTTGATCCCACCAGCGTAGCCGACACAGGTTCTGATGACACCAGGCAGTACTCCAAAGAGAGAATCCCCCGCCCAGAAGCAGCCCATACCGAAAGTAGCGAGCTTGCCTTTGATCTTCTCCAGTTGTTCTGGCATTCTACTGAACGGACAAATATTGTTACGTTCAAAGATGCTCTGGCACGTGAAGTGTGTGCCACATTGGTACGATGAAATGGAGCAATTGTCCGCGCAAACGGTCCAGACTAAACATGGTAGCATAACGGTGATCATGTGGCGTGATCGCAACATCTTCGACGATTTCGATTTTGTCTGATACGCCGCCCACTTTCATGGACTCGACGCCACGCTCTGTAATGCTTCCACAGTGGCATGCGTTAAACCGGTATCGCGGACGAGCGATATCGGATCGGAACAGAGACAAGCTCGCGGCGCTCGCGCCAGAGTCGCCAAGAGGTGGCGGACAAGCGGACAAGCGGGACAAGCGGACGAGTGCGAGGGAGGGGGACGCGCACGTGCTGAATGTCTACGATTGCGCGAAAACGTCAGGGAGACGGTTTACCGAGTCGAGTGCACGTGCGAAGAATGAAGGTCAGAGAAGACCAATTTTCCTGTGCTCTCGACTGATTAAATTAATTGATTGATTCGCGGATCAAATAGCGAGTATCGATAATAATGTGGATCATATAAGCTCTCCGATGTCGTGACCTGGATGTTTGATACGTAAGCCGCGACGAATTTTTTTTCGATATTATCACTCGTCTAAATTCCACTTAATTTTTAAGGTCAATTTTAGCAATTTAAGATTAAGCCATTATTAAACTTTTAAATAACTTGTTATCGAATATATTGTACTTAATTTGTAAGAATATTTTTGTAAAAGTTTTAGCCTAGCTTTCAAAGCAAAAATTAATATCTTTTGAATGAATAGATAGTTATATAAATTAATTTAATCATTACTTTGGCTCTTAGAAATTTTTTACAAATGATATTTCCGAAAGATCAATATTTTTACAACTACCCAGACAGCACACAATATTTATAAAATATTTATAAATATTTATAAGATTTATTTTAAATATTTTGTAAATATTTTTGTGATCTAGGATTGCACAGATTATAAACATTTATTATAAATATTATGAAATATTTATTGTAAATGTTATAGTAAATGCTATGAAAATACTTAATGAGATATTATAATCCAAGTAAAAAATACTTGTCAAAAATATTTATTTATATTTACCATAAGTATTACATGAAATATTTAGTCTATATTTTAATAATATTTCAAATAAAGCTTTATATAAAATATGTATGTAATATTTATGCAACATTTAAAAAATTGAATATTAATAAATAATATTTATCATAAATATTCTGTGCTGTCTGGGTAATGACGTGTCAGCATTATATTATCGTGTTATGTAATTTTTTTGCCATATAATTGCTACTCAACGATAATATAACGATATCAATACTGTCATTAAGACTTCATAGTAGAATTAAAGAAGTTAATTTAAGAAGATCTTGTAATTAATACAATTTTTGGTATAAATTATGAATTATTTTGTCAATTTTTTTCGTGTTATATTTATGAGATGTTTAAGTTGACAGCAAAAATTTAATGTGAATTAAAAAATTTGGATGAAACAAGAAAGATGATTTTTTTCAATTTAATTAATTGTTTATCTTTACTTGACCATCCATACTCTTTTTTCCGAGCTCTTTATTCGGGCGTCCGGGGACGGATTTTCAATGTGTACTCTTTTTTTGTGCTTTTGGGACTTGGGAGCGAACGAGGGGAAGTTATCTTGAAAGTTGTTAAGTCACTATGACACTGTTACACATTAAATATATTAACACATAATACAGGACAAGTACGTAAGACATTAAGACCGCTAAACCAATAAGTATCCACAGCATAAAATCGTCATATTGATTTACATAAGATGCTAATTAGACATTAGGTTTATTCGCATTGCTTGTACTTTTTGCACTCAGCATCTTCGTTTTTCTTTTATCTATCTCATTTTAAGTTTAGAAATTTTTTACATAACGTTGTTTTGTTTGTCTATATGCATTTAAAAGAAATTTAAAAAAAATACAAAATAATGCAGGTCTCAAATTAAACAATGTCTGTTTCTATTTTATTCTTCGTTTCCTTTATTTTTTTTAGTATTCGTTGGTTTCGTGAAAGAATGATAGTGTACTACTTTTGTATTACTTTTCCACGATGGATGTCCTAAGTCACGTGCATTGCATCTGGTCACCCTATCTTTACTTAAATTGTTTGTATACATCCGAGTTCTGACATTGTGAGCACATGCTATGTACAACACATATAGTAATGAATATTATTAACTATTTATTCTTTTAAACGAGCTTATTACTTAAGATTCTTTCAAATTTGATTTCAGATAGTGTCTTGAGATTCCAGTTAGTAAAATCATCATACTTAAGACCGGACACAATGCTCTTCTTTGATCTTCAAATTCTTCGCAAAGGATTTATTGACGAAGCTCGAGAGAATTCGAAACCACAATTAAGATTCTAAAATCTCAAAATGATTCAGAATTCCTTGTCTATGATTTACACGTATTATTCAAAATTTGTGATCCCGACGTCCCTATCTTTCTTCACTTAATTGCGGTTTTATCGACATGAAAGAGGTTTTGCACTCCGGCTGAAGTACCGAGAAAATATTATTTTCTATTCGCAGAAGATTCGTGGAAATATAATAAAAAATACGTAAGTACTTCATATAAATTGATAAAATTTTATATTTTATACAATAAAACAAGTTCGTTAATTTGAACTTCACTTAAAAATTCCCCGCTTTGAAACATTCGAACGCGATTGTTTGAACCGTTTACATGGAATTTCGCGAAAATCAGAAATATTTAGGAATAGAGCAGAATTTTGTTTTTAGAATTTCGTTATACCTTAATTTTACTTAAACAGCAAACTGGAATGCTCGTGATCGATTCGCTCAGGCGATGATCTATCTAGTCACTGCCGATCGCAGGTTTATACACGATGATGTTTCTTTCTGGAACGAATAGTAAATCCTTCGAGTAACTGGAGTAAAACCGACTGTCGTGTCTACAGACGGCATTCGGTTTTTATTCGAGCATGCTTGTCTCTCCCCGCCATCTCTCATCTTCTCATGCTCCCACTTCGTAAATGCCAAGACAACTGTACGATTCGCTCGTGCGTTTCAATAGACCTAAATAGATTCATATTCTTCTCATTGTATGTCGGAACAAAGGATTGACAAAAAAAATGTGTAACGTTACATTTTTGAATAACATCAAAAGCTTGTTAACTTAGAAACGATTATAAATATACTGTAGGCCTATTCTTTTTAGCTGAACTTTTGTACCAGTTCATCTTTCTTCTTCTTTTTTCCTCCTAAAGAGAAAAGAAAGAAAGATGAACTGGTGAAAAAGTTCAACTAAAAAGAACTGGCCTTATAACTTGAACTAAAGGCTGATTATAAAATGTATTATGTTAATTTATACATTTTCTCTATTAAATAAAAAAAGAAGTAGGTCACAGTTTGAAAAGTAAATTTGTCATGTGAATATCATTTGAATAATATTCAAATTTTAAAAACTTTTCTAAACGTTATTATAATGTTGTCCATTATTCTGGAGTTTGTAGCCAGCGATTTACTTCATTTTGTTAGTATGTTACGAAATATATGTACTTCAAAGTTATTCTAAATGAATTTTAGAAGGAAGATATGGAAGGAAGTCGTATCTCGCGAAACTTATTACCAAATCAAATATCTTGGTATTATAATAAGATAAGTTTTTATGCAAAGAAAGATAATCAGTTATATGAATTTTTCCAGTCTTACTTATAACAATATAAAAATAATAACTGAAACATATTTAAATATTATTATAATATCCTGACAGGTTAAAATTATTACAATTGTAAATTCACAATTTTTTTCATCACGGAATTTATTCGCTAATTAATATAAATTATAAAATATTTGTATAAATAATAAAAAACTAAATAAATTATAATAAATAAAAATTTATAGGATAAAAATTTTATTGTGAAGCACATTCTTTCAACATAAAAAAAGAAGTTGGTCACAGTTTGAAGTAAATTTGTCATGTTTGAATTAGAATACGATTACCCATTGATGCTATGACCCCGTAACTGTTGCATATTTTTGATCGAGGACGGCAGATCTCTCACTGATTTCTAAGAAGTATTCCGTGTTCTCTTTCTTCATACGTTATTATTTAAAAAGGTAAAATTCTTATAAAAGTGAACAAATTAAAACTTAATATATAACAAAAACTTAATATACATATAACAAATATATATTTTTAGACAATTAAAAAATTTGGACCTCGTGATTTGCTTATCATATTTAATTCGTCAAATATTAAGAAAAAAGCAGAATAGATAATCATTTAAAAGATCTGACTTGACATCAAATACTTCAGATGATATATGAAGTACAAATGTACACACATATGACAGATTGAGATAAATCGTATATTTAATTAAGTGTGATTATTTGAGTGATAAAAATCGAGAAATTATTAATACAAATATGTATTAGATTATATGTCTTTTATCGCGCTGTGCAGTGAATCCTGCAGAGAGAATAGATATTGTATAGATATATAATTTTCTATTTAAATAACATTAATACTTATACGATAAGATTATTTGGTATCAAATATCGAATTAGAGAAACAATTAGCTGTATTTATTAAATACAAATAATATATGAAATTTTTATAAAGAAAATATATTTAATTAAAAGATTCGCAATGCAAGTAATTGCTAGTCATTCATGCCGTTACTCGCATTACGAAAGATTCGAGTAATGGCAATGACTGGCAATATTAAAGGTTCGGAAAGACGCTATTAGCACTATTAGTGTCATTCTATCTTTGTTTTACGTTTAATAAACAGTAAAGGCAGAATGATAGAAATAGCGCTAATTACGTCTTTTTGAACGCACCATAAGATATCGTGAAATTATCACAAAATATTGCCATTCGTTTGTGAGCGGTATATTTTTAAGAGACAAAATGTGTGAATGATTTAAATTTAATATAACACGCCGAGGAATAAATTTAATATATAAACGATACAAATAATATCAAATAAAATTCAAGCATTTAATATCATGTCTTTATTTATTGCCAATTGTGGCTCTAATAAGGTTCAATAAAATGTGATGATTGCATCAGAAAAGACAAGCAATGCACAGTTGATTAAATCAGTTCTCAATTGGCAGTCGACTGATGTAATCTTTCTCTTGTGGCCGCTAAGTCATCGTAGATGTTAGTGTCACTATCACTGTCATTATCAGTTACTCTGGAGTTCCTGACCTGTTATATATCTCGACCCAAGTGGAGTTCTATATTGATAATAGTAAAATGAGTCAAGGAAAGTATGGCTAAAATAAACCAAATCACTGTAATTGGCGAATATAATTACATGCTGTAATCGTCATGTAATAGTGAATATATATATGTATATGTAAATTTCATCTTCAATACACAAATTGTCGTACGCGTGATAAAAATAGATTTCAGTAAAATCTCCTTGTGTGTGTGTGTGTGTGTGTGTGTGAATGATCGTAATAAATATTAAATAAACTCGCAAATGTTTTATCAGCTTTATACTGAACAGCTTGTTGCCTTTCTAATTCGCGCTTTCTAAATCACACCATAATGTACTAAAAAGTAAGTTAATATTTATATGATATATATATATATCATATAAATATAATATA